GATGTGTGTTTGTCCCATTTTAAGTTGTTTTGAAGTGTGATGCCTAGATATTTGTTTGAAGTTACATATTCTAGTGTGTGGTCATGGAGTGTGTATTGGTGTTTAATTTGTGTGCGTTTTGGTGTATAGTGAGTATGGTGCATTTGTCTGGTTGGAATTTCATGAGCCAGTCCTCTTCCCATTTACTAGCTGCATCTAAATCTGCTTGTAGTTTTGACGTGTCGTCTTTGTGATTGTTTTGTATAGTATGCTGTCGTCTGCGAAAAGTCTTAGTGTACTGTGTGATATGTATTCGGGGAAGTCGTTGATGTATATGAGGAAGAGGACTGGTCCCAAACAGGTTCCTTGAGGCACTCCAGGTGTTACTGGGATTTTGTCGGAGTGTTTTCCCTCAAGTACTACTGTTTGAGTGCGTTGTGATAGGAAGTCTGTTATCCATGTTAATGTGGTTCCGGTGATGCCGTAATAATTTAGCTTGTACTGTAGGTGTTTGATGTAATAAAGGAATCTATTGAAACATCAATTTGGGGCAGGTTCATGCAGAGACATATAGATATGATTTAATATGATACATTATGAACGCAGGCTATATGCCTCTATATCCATATTAGTACATACAACAAAACTTACATTAAATATACTTCAAGTGTCAATTGTACAGATTTTTAAAACTAAAAACTAAAAGCTATATTTTCACGTTTACAGTACTCATCTAAACCAATTTCAAACTGTATAACATTAGATGAATCAATGCCATCCTGTGGAAGACTGTTCCATATATCAACAACACGGAAAGTAAAGAAATGTATCCTTATATCAAGGTGACAGTGTTTTTTAAAGGTTTGTAAGAATGCCCTCTTGTTCTACTTCTAATATTCCACTGAAACATGCTTTCAGTCACTCTAGGATCATTTCAAACTCTTAAAGACGTTTATTAAGTCTCCTCGCATCCGACGGTGCTTTAAGGTTGGTAGATTTAATCTCTGCAGACGCTCTGTATGATCTTGGTAGCTCGTCTCTGGACGTTTTCAACTAAACCAATATCCTTGCTCCTGTATGGACTCCATACACTAGATGCATATTCTAAGTGTGGTCTAACAAGCGCCTTAAATAAAAGTTTGAACATATTTTCATCCAGATAAGTGAATGCTTTTCTAATAAGGCCAACACTACTGTTAGCTTTGTTTACATTAAATTGAATATGTGCCCTAAAGTTTAGATCTTCATCCACAGTTACACCAATATCTTTTTCACATGGTATCTCTCTAGTTCTATTCTCTCTCCCGATGCTCCGAGCATATATTATTTTCTATCTTGTTTGTTTTTAGATTTAATTGAAAGTACTTTGCATTTGTTTGGATGGAATTTGAGAAGCCATTTCGCAGACCAATCCTGGAGTTTGTTAAGATCTTTCTGCAGAGTCTCCGTATCCAGATTGCTCTTTATTTCTCTGTATAATTTGGTGTCGTCGGCGAACAAGGGAGTGAATCTGTTATTCCTGGCAAATCATTAATGTAGATGACGAATAAAAGGGTCCTAAAACACTTCCTTGGGGTATCCCACTATCTACTGGGTATTTATCTGAAGACTCCCCATTTACTACTACTTTCTGTGTTCTATTTTTTTTTAAAGTTTTCTACCCGCGTTATTATTTGGTGATGGGTGCTGTATCCTTGAAGCTTCTTTATAAGTCGCCGATGGGGTACATTGTCAAAAGCTTTCATAAAATTAAGGTAAATAACATCTAATTGACCACCTTTATCTATAATTTTAGTCCATTCTTCTAAAACTGTGAGGAGTTGAAGCTGTGTCGATCTTCCGGAGAGAAAACCAAACTGCCTGTTGCTGAAGAGATTATTTCTGTCCATGTGGTTGACAATTTTACCCCTCACCAGTTTTTCTAGAGTTTTCCTTAAAACGCTGGTTAAACTAGCAGGTCGGTAGTTTCCTGCTTCTGATTTGGCACCTTTTTTGAAGATAGCAGTGATGTAAGCTTCTTTCCACTGTTGTGGTAATTTTTACCCTCAGAAAGTGATTTACTAAAAATATCTGATAGTATTTTACTGATATTTTTCCTCAATTCTTTTAAAACTTTTGGGTGTAACATATCCGGGCCCTGCGATTTATTCTCATTGAAGCCATACATAGACGTATATATATTACACTCTGGCTTTATATGTCCCTAAGCCATAATAGTATAGTGTGGCAGTGTTAAATTGTACATAGGATTAAGGTCGCCTTCTAGCTTTAGCTAAGTGGTAGTGCGTCCGACTAGGAACCTGGAGATCGAGGGTTCGATCCCCGGTGGAAGCACACTATTCTCTTTCCTGATACAAATGGTGTCCGTGGCCCTCCCTGTGGTGACAGGGAGTGAGAACATGGGTTGTGGTGTTCGAGGGCGAACACACTCTTAAAGGGGGAGTAGTGTTCAATTGTACATAGGATTAAGGTCGCCTTTTAGCTTCAAGCCAGATGGATGTTCCCTTCAGCTCAGTGGTAGAGCGTCCGAATAGGAACTAAAAATAACTATTTTAATATAGAAACGCAGTTAGCTGTGTTTGACAAATATGTAAATAGCGTACTTAGTTACGGGGCGGAAGTATGGGGCTTCCATGCAGCACCAGATATAGAAAAGTTACATGTACAAATTTGCAAACGTATATTGGGATTACATAGTAAGGCAAGTAATTATATGGTATATTATGAATATAGTTCGTAAATTTCGTATTTTCAAATATTGGATAAAATTAAGAAAATCTGAAAACTGTATTCTAAAATTATGCTACTCTGAGATGCGATCTAACAACGATATATGGTTAAGTAAGGTGAGGCAAGAATTATACAGAATTGGTCTTGGTTATGTGTGGGAAGCCCCGAGTCTAAAGAATGATATATATTTTTTTTATAATTAAGGAACGCATTTCTGATATATTCAAACAAGAATGTTTTGAAAAAATAACATCTTCTGCAAAAGGTGCACTTTACCAATATATTTGTAATTTTGGAATACAGTTTTATTTGTCCAAATCTATCAATATTAATTTTGTAAAACATCTTTGTAAAATAAGACTATCAGCACACAAATTAAATATTGAATGTGGCAGGTATAACAATATCGAAATAGGAAACAGAGTGTATACATTATGTAATATGAATGAGGTAGAAGATGAATTCCATTTCATTTTGAAATGTCCTTGTTATGCTGACATAAGAGCTAAATTCATCAAAAAATATTATGTAAACCGTACTAGCATGTTAAATTTATCCAAATGCTAAACAGTAATAGTTTATCAGAAATTAGAAATTTGGGTAAATATATAGTGCATGCAAACAAGCAAAGGTCTCAACTTCTTTAATTCGTGGTTACTGATCACTCTCCACTATATAATGTACAAATATAATACCTAGACATATTATGTTTGCATGGATGTAAATTGAATTGTACTGATATATGTTGTAACTGATAAGTAGGACGACTTAAAGAAATAATAAACTTGAAACTTGACTAGGAACTTGGAGATCGAGGGTTGGATCCCCGGTGGAAGCACACTATTCTCTTTTCTGTTACAGTAGTATACAACACAAGGAAATGTGTATAATAATGGATTATGAATAAAGTAATTAGAGTTCTAAAAAAATATGATTTATACAAATTAGTATAAGAATGTTTATCAAATGGATTATTTTCCAGTGAAAAGTACATGGAAAACGAAAGTAAAGCATACTGTACAGTTATATGAAGAAAAAGCATGAGTGGTGACCGCGATTTCTGCAGATTTATTTTTGTTCATGATAATTTGGCTCCTCATATATTGTGGAACTTGTTAATAAAATTTTCCTCAAAAAACAGAGAAGCCATACATAGTATAATGAAATTAATTGTATCTCTAAGACATTCAGAAAAAAACTGAATTATGTCATAAATGTGGACAAATGTATAACGATATATATACTCACATAGTTTTACGATCACTGTACAGAAGATTTGCGAGATTAGTTATGGTGTCAATTAAGTCATTAATACATGTGAATTTATGTTTAGCGTATATTTACACTCTCATTTAAACTTTGAATAATTTCACCTACTGATTGGTGTCAATATATAGCGTATGAACTGATTACATAACAGAATTTCGTATGACATCAGTCAATCATATTTCAAAAATGCTTAATGCATACTTCGAATGATTTAATGAGAAACACAGCAATGTCCAAAAGGAAGTATATATACTACTTTCATTCTTAACATTACTAATTATGTATTCTTTTGTAAACAGTACTCAAATTGATTAACATATTCCAATTGTGTTAGCTAGTTATGCTGTGCACTAATTTTGCCTTACTATCTATTTGATTTTGCATTTATTACCTTATTTATCATTGTAACTACATTATAATGTTTGTAAAATCTTCTTAAATGAGGAAATAACGAGACTTTCTGTCCGAACTTGCTCCCTAGCGGGACATGTTCGGCCATGCAATATACAGGACTGTATATATATACCAACAGAAAAAGTTACAGAATTCTACAAATACAGTCGTGTTCGCCTTTCGTTATTACTTTGTGAAATGTAAGAATTCCTCCTCAAAATGGTGTATATATATACATAAATTTAAACAAATGTCCTACTGTCTATAACAACGTAAATAAAAATGTGCCGAACGTGTATCCGGGGCCTGTTCACTTATTTCATAAACGGAAAACTGTGGTCGAACCGGTTCAACAGTTTGGATCGCGATAAACGAAAGCGATCCCCATTTCAACACATGACCTGGTATTTTTATAATTCAAAAGTTTTACTTCTTATTTGATTTTTTTTTCATTCCAATGTTATTATTATATTGGAATTCGAACTTCCGGACATAAGTTGTTGTGTTTCCGGTGTGATATATATCAGCTTTGTATTACTTGTGTTGATTGGTTAAAAATTGAAGAGAATGCAGAAACTATCCAATGAAAATGAAAGTAGTTTAGCGATGTTGTTAAACTGTCAAACATGGCCGACAACGAAAATACGGAAGTATTAGTGGCGTAGATAAGTGCTAACATGAGAGCTATTTAGTTCTTAAGATAAAATTAGACGGAAAAATGCCTGGACTTATTATGTTTGGGCGCCGTTGGGGGATAGGAAGTGACGATTTTGTCTTTCCAGTTCTAGCTGAGATCTTTTTGAGATTAGCGTGGTGAGCTTTCGATCCTAGAACTCTTTACTAAGTAGTGTGCCATCAATTCTGATGATTTATGATTAAAAATATGTCTAACTCGCCTAATATACGATTTGTTACTAAAAATAGCCAAAATCACTTTAATCTTAACTTTTTCAAATTGTTTGTCCAATTGTCGCATTTATTCAGTCATGAAATATAATACAAATGCAAAAATAAACTTTTATTTGCATGTGGGAAAGTACCAAAATAGATGCAATACTTCCGGTAAAGTTACATCAAGTTTCTAAGAAGCCAACGCTTTCAGTAAACATCTTTTAGCAAAACATTATTTACCTTGTCGTAAATTAATGCGATTTTTAATAATATCTTGCAAAAGTTGCTGTTAAAGTGATTTGGGTTATTTTTAGTAACAAATCCACACTCAAACTGGCGTATGATAGGCGAGTTTGGATATTATTAGCAAGTTGGTTGTTGTCCCCAACCTGATAAAGGTAGTTTTGTCTATAAAGTCAAATATGACTATACGTTTATAGGACGGCTGTAAACAAACAACACCTTACTGATCATATTTATCTCATGCACGTCGGTAAAATTGTTGACCAAACAGGTGAGCTGGTGAAATGAAAGATTATTGTTTGTTTACACAATTTTAATTGATTTGGTGAATTTCCATCATTGCATTACTTTCCTGTCGACCTGTGTCCCTTATTAGTATTAAAGTGTAACAGGAAAGAGAATAGCTATTACTGATATTAATACCAGCCTTCCTCTGCCCTGGCAGACGATGACGACGCAATATTTAAAAATATCTCTCTTCGACAGAAAGCTAAGTTATTGCAGCCAGCTCGAAGCTAGAGGGCAACCTTAAACCTATGTACAATTAAAACCTGCCACACTACTCCCCCTTTTTTAAAAGTGTTCGCCCTCGACACCACAACCCAGGTTCTAACTCCCTGTCACCACAGGGAGGGCCATGCACGGACACCATTTATAACAGGAAAGAGAATAGTGTACTTCCACCTGGGATCAAAGCCTCGATCTCCAGGTTCCTAGTCGGACGCTCTACCACTGAGCTAAAGGGAAATTCCCTCTAGCTGGAAGCTAGAAGGCGACCTGAAACTTATGTACAGTTAAAACCTGCCTCAAAAATATATCACGTGTCTATTCAATATGGCGTTAATGACTTCCCAAAGATAAGCAACCCAAAGATGCAGATTCACGCCTCAGGTGTGCTTTCGAAAGATACTTCCAAGTAGGAATGATATTGAAATATTCGGTGCTTTGGAACAGAAATTGTTAATATTCTTGTCTAACCATCAGATACAGAGGATGAAAGATGCAAGTACCAAAAATTGCAATTGTAAAAATCAACTAAGTCACATGAAATTCAGTTTTTAGATAAAAAAATCTTTCGTTTTACCTGTTTGTCCACCAAATTTTTGATGTGCACAAGGAAATAACAACGACAATTGACTTGTTGGTTTACATTCGTCCTATATAATTATAGCCAGATTTGCTGGTGCTCCAGCACCTGTGGAGTATAACATACATTAACTGACATACAGATAGATCCTCGATATTCTATTTCACCTTTAAATAAATACATGAGTTTTCTCCTGAGGTGGAAAGTAGCACGCATATCTATATAAAAAAAACCCAACAATTACAGACCAGTTTCCAATACATGTGCTGTATTTGCTGTAAAATTCTTGAACACATATAATGAGCATGCTTATGTTCATCCATCTCTTGAGTTCTCATATCCTATTTGGGACCCCTACTAGGATGTGACATTAACATATTGGAAATGGTTCAATATGTTATCAACATATTTTATAATACTTAGTACCTCTAGTGTTTGTGATATGCTATATATTAGACCTTGGCTTGCATAGTCTATCGGTCTACCTTTTAGTCTTTTGCCAATTGTTACAAATGCCTATGTATTTTTGTCTAACAGATGCTGATATATATTTGTATCATTCCAGGTTGATTGCAATGTCCATTGTATTCCACATCCATCAGAATGAGCCTCAGAACTGTTCCGGTGGAACACTTTTGCAGGCCTACTTCATTGGTGCACTATTCCTTCTGTGTTTGACCATAGTGCTGGACATAATTATTGTATATACCAGCATGCAGGGCTCCATCATGTACCCCTACCCTAGAAAGCGGATGCCTCGACTACTATATGTGAAGATAGGTGTTTCTGTGCCAGAGCTTGCCTGGATTATACTGGGAACTTACTGGTCGTTTGGGCTTGCCAGTGGCTGTGTGGCCAGTGTTGTAATGACTGTGAAGGGAGCCGTTCTGTGTGGCTGGGCCATTGCTTTTCTCCTCCTTATAGGCCTTTTTGTTGTGTTTGACCCATTGGGTGGTCTGCGTGCTAAGAGGTCACAGCTGGGAGTGTTGGAAAGCAGCACGCAGGAACAGATGATGACCACTGCCCAGCACACTGCAATGAAGACATGGGAAAGAAGGTGAGAGCTGATGGATATCAAATACTATGTTGTTTAAGTGAAGGATACTATGTATCATCTTGTTCAGAGGATCATAACTTCTGAAGGCAACTGGTCAATTTAAGATGTAATGCAATATTTAACTAGACATATAAGCCAATTTGCATGCCCCCACGTATTTGCTTTGCACTTATTTGACTTAACATTCCAGTGACCTATTTAATTTTCAAGGGTTGAAAATTTGCAACCCAGAGAAAATTTTGCATATGTTTGCAATTGGCTTTTGACCAGCTGTAGGTGACGCTATGACTGAATTACATCGCAATGTGCACCTTCTTCAGCTGATACAAATATAATTCAGGTTTCATAAATTAAAATATATTTAATAGCCTAAAAGTTATGGCCTTGACATTTTGCACTTATTTGACTTTAGCATTGAGGCCAATATCACAGTGCACTGCACAAGTCCTGGGGGTGATGTAGGTATACGGTACTTCAAATTTTATCAAGATTGCTATTGTAAAAGTTAAATCCTGGATAGGATTATATTAGAAGATGAACAAGCAATAATGCATTGAATATTTCTTTGTTGGAAGGGGAGACATACAAAGGATAAAAGCTTGGTATAGTAGGAGTCTCATGTGTTTGGTTATGTAGGCTCAGTATGCATTATCTTTGAAGTAATATTGTAGTGTATACAATGTATCCCAGTATATATGCTGTTATACTTTATCTAGATATCTTGGCCACTAGAAATGATAATATTATATTGCTTTTACAGATGTAAGTTCCTGTGTTGCTGTGTATCATGTGATGATCGAAGTCATGATGCCTTCACAGAGATTGCTAAACTTCTGACTGACTTTTTTCAGGTAAAAGCTCTTTGTTAGACAGTTGCATTGTTGTACTGTTTGGTTAATGTTGTCCGGGTGAAACAGAGAAACGTCTAGTCCACAATATCATTCAGAGGATTGACCCCCGAGATAAACAAGTTGGTCAATACGTATATGTCTTAAACGAAGAGCAATAAGCATCCTTTGGACAGTTTGATTTTGAGATACTTTGAGATAAAGGATAAGCAAGTTCATTATAAATTTCACCTATTAACTCTAACCTGCAGAATGTGGAGCTGGACCTGGTGGCAACAGACATTGCAGCAGGACTCATACTGGTCAATAGGGAGCAGGATGTGTCACTGCTCACCGCCACGTCTGAGAGGTCCAATGACAATTATGGTTCTCTGTCACTAGACAGGAAACCACAGTACTGCTCACTGACCACAGAGGGTCAGGTTTCGGATACATTGACCGCAGGCACAAGGATCGCAGACACACATGACCATCCTAGCTCAGCATCATCTAGGTATACCCCTAACATGTTACCTCACATATACTACAGGTCATTATACTGATATACCACAAACATGTTACCTCACATATACTACAGGTCATTATACTGATATACCACAAACATGTTACCTCACATATACTACAGGTCATTATACTGATATACCACAAACATGTTACCTCACATATACTACAGGTCATTATACTGATATACCACAAACATGTTACCTCACATATACTACAGGTCATTATACTGATATACCACAAACATGTTACCTCACATATACTACAGGTCATTATACTGATATACCACAAACATGTTACCTCACATATACTACAGGTCATTATACTGATATACCACAAACATGTATCATAATTGTATAAAATATTGTTGTCAAATCAGTTAAATTTTAGTAACTGGTAACATGAACAATCTTCTGACAGCTAAATATGTTAATTAGTCAACTTGTTAATGAAACAATAAACAACAACACCAGAAACTGTTTATGAAACCTTCTCAGAGAGATTTGTCCACCTGAGCAAACTCGGAGAGAGAAATAAAAGCATGTGGAATTTTCCATGCAATTCTGCAGTTCAGTGGTGTGGTGAAGATTTTATGAATTAAATAATTATCTGATATTAATTTGACAAAGTTAATTCACACCTTAATTGAACTGTTGTATTCCCAAAGTACCACCACCAAAGTATATAACAGAGTGCCACTCAGTAGCTTACTTAGCCTTTCACTTAGCCAATGGTCAGGCACTCTAAGGGTAAGTAGAGGTCATTAGATAAGGCTTCACTGATTTACCATACTCTTTGTGAGCAGTTATAAAATGTGATTTGTAGTATTATTCGCATTATATGAGAGGTTTAGTTGGCATGCATGTAGTTTACTCATGTAGGTTACACTCTTAACACCCATACACAACTGTCATAATAAAGAAGAATGCTATACAAATTATTTCTTCTCAGAACCATAATTTGGTTTCTCAATTTTTCATCAGTTTCATTTTAACTTTTTTGAACCTATAAAGGATTTGGTATGACTGTTTTATGACTTGTATTTTGTATGTAGTAATGATATATTATTCTTTATACATAATGTAGGTGTAAATGTATGGACTTTCTTTGCTAGAGTCAGTAACAGTGTTCCTAACAGTGACAGGAGGCCACACCCCCAGGACTGGATGACCATTAAGAACATGAGCCATTACATGAAGTATGCCATGGCCAGTTATGGTTGGCCTCTGTTTGTGTTTGCGAATCTGTCCCTGGGTCTCTGTAAACTGTGTGGTCAGTGCCGGTGAGTATTATAATCAATCGTAGATCCTGTCTGAAACAAGCCCTGATTAACCCAAAACCTTACGTAAACCACGATGTCAGTCAAAGATCATCAATTAGGGTAATATTCACTTTACATGTACATGTAATTTGGGGATTGTTGAAATTGTCATGCTGATATAGGGAAAAGCACTCCATATTCATTTTGTAGATATTCAGAATCAATCTTGCATTCTTGGTTTTACTGCACAAATTAATATTATTGCTTATATACACCTAAAAATGTCAAAAACTGGACTGGATATGCCCTAATTATACTGTCAAATAGAACTAGTTAAATGATCCCCATACCACAGCCAAAAACCTGTAACTATGTTGATCCCCATACCTAGGCCAAAAACCTGTAACTATGTGGATCCCCGTACCACTGCCATAAACCTGTAACTATGTGGATCCCAGTACCACTGTCAAAAACCTGTAACTATGTGGATCCCCATACCACGGCCAAAAACCTGTAAATATGTGGATCCCCGTACCACGGCCAAAATCCTGTAACTATGTGGACCCCCGTACCACTGCCAAAAATCTGTAACTATGTGGATCCCCATACCACGGCCAAAAACCTGTAAATATGTGGATCCCCGTACCACGGCCAAAAACCTGTAAATATGTGGATCCCCGTACCACGGCCAAAAACCTGTAACTATGTGGATCCCCATACCACGGCCAAAACCTGTAACTATGTGGACCCCCATACCAGGGCCAAAAACCTGTAACTATGTGGATCCCCGTACCACCGCCAAAAACCTGTAACTATGTTGACCCCCGTACCACGGCCAAAAACCTGTTACTATGTGGATCCCCATACCACGGCCAAAAACCTGTAACTACACTCAGTGACAGCCAGAACCACAAGAACACCCAAAGCCAAGTGCGCCAGTGGATGAAGAAGATCCACAAGTCGGGACTTCCTGGAAAGTACAAAGCATGGATATACCAGCATGGCATGCTACCAAGGCTCACATGGCTGCTGCTACTGTATGAAATACCAACCTCAACAGTAGAAGGGTTAGAGAAGATGGTGAATGGGTACCTGCGGAAGTGGCTTGGGGTCCCACCAAGTTTCACATCAGTTGGGCTGTACAGTTGTTCGGCAGAACTACAACTACCATTCAAATCGGTCGTTGAAGAGTTCAAGGTAGCAAAATGCAGGCTGGTGATGACTCTGAGGGACTCCAAAGATGTGAAAATCAGCGAGGCAGGGATACAGACAAGAACAGGGAGAAAGTGGTCAGCAAGCACTGCAGTTGGTGAAGCAGAGAGTATGCTCGAGTTGAAGGATATCATCGGGAATACCTGCGTCGGAAGACAAGGAGTTGGCTTCTCTCATTTCCAGCAGTGGGAGAAAGCAAATACCCAAGAAAGACGGCAAATGGTGCAGAAAGAAATCAGAAGGATTGAGGAGGAAAGGAGGAGAGGGAAATCTGTAGAACTCAGCAAACAGGGTGCGTGGACCAGATGGAATCTCCCAGAGAGGAAGATGACGTGGGCTGAAATATGGAGAATGGAGCCCTTCCGGATATCATTTCTGCTACGATCCGTGTATGACACGCTACCATCTCCTGTTAACCTGCATCAGTGGGGATTGACGGAGGATCCTTGCTGCAAGCTATGCGGAGGAAGAGGAACAATGGCTCATATCTTGTCTGGTTGCAAAGAAGCACTACGACAGGGTAGATACCGATGGAGGCACGACAACGTCTTGCGGGTCCTAGCGGATATCCTTGAAGTGGAGAGAAGGAAGAAAAGAACTGGTGTAAGAACAAACCAGGCTGGTATCAAGTTTGTGAAACCAGGGGAGAAAGCCACAGTGAAGCCTCGAAGCACCTCATCCATCTTTGAACGGGCGTCAACATGGGAGATGAAGGTTGACCTTGACAGGAAGCTTGTGTTTCCAGGAATAGTGGAAACAACACTGAGGCCTGACATGGTAATCTGGACAGAGCAATCCAGACACCTCATCGCCATAGAGCTCACCGTACCATGGGAGGAAGGCTGCGAGGAAGCTCACGAGAGGAAGAAAGCCAAGTATGATGAGCTGATGGAAAAGTGCAGGAGCAGAGGATGGACAGTATGGCTCTTTCCAGTGGAGGTTGGCTGTAGAGGTTTCCCCGCACAGTCAGTGTGGAGGACACTACGGTCAATAGGACTCACTGGGAGGGCAAGAGCTACCGCCATCAGACGATTGGGAGAAGCTGCAGAGAGAGCATCGTGCTGGCTATGGCACAAACGAGATGAGCCGATGTGGAAGCCGACATAGACGAGTAGTGGTTTGGCCACCACTACTGACCCACCAGCCGGAGGATGTAGTGATTAAGGGTCGAAACATCTGAAGAGGGCTGGCCATCACCTGATGACGTCAAATGAGGCTTCGCGACTAGAATGACAGCAGTGACGGACTACAAGTCAAGGATGTCACAAGATGCAGAATCACCATCATCTGTAAGCAATCATGGATCCCCGTACCACTCCCAAAAACCTGTAACTACATGTATGTGGATCCCCGTACCACTGCCAAAAACCTGTAACTATGTGGATCCCCATACCAATGCCAAAAACCTGTAACTATGTGGACCCCCCCGTACCACAACCAAAAACCTGTAACTATGTGGATCCCCATACCACGGCCAAAAACCTGTAACTATGTGGATCCCCATACCACGGCCAAAAACCTGTAACTATGTGGATCCCCATACCACGGCCAAAAACCTGTAACTATGTGGATTCCCGTACCACAGCCAAAAATCTGTAATTATGTGGATTCCCGTAAAAACCTGTAACTATGTGGATCCCCGTACCACGACCAAAAACCTGTAACTATGTGGATCCCCGTACTACTGCCAAAAACCTGTAACTATGTGGATCCCCATACCACGGCCAAAAACCTGTAACTATGTGGATCCCCATACCACGGCCAAAAACCTGTAACTATGTGGACCCCCGTACCACTGCCAAAAAACTGTAACTATGTGGACCCCTATACCACTGCCAAAAACCTGTAACTATGTGGACCCCCGTACCACTGCCAAAAACCTGTAATTATGTGGACCCCTGTACCACGGCCAAAAACCTGTAACTATGTGGATCCCCGTACCACTGCCAAAAACCTGTAACTATGTGGATCCCCGTACCATGGCCAAAATCCTGTAACTATGTGGACCCCCGTACCACTGCCAAAAACCTGTAATTATGTGGATCCCCATACCACGGCCAAAAACCTGTAACAATGTGGATCCCCATACCACGGCCAAAAACCTGTAACTATGTGGATCTCCGTACCACTGCCAAAAACCTGTAATTATGTGGATCCCCGTACCACTGCCAAAAACCTGTAACTACTCATTGGAAACTGTTTTTGCCAGCATGACTATAGCTTTGTCTTTGATAAATTGTTTCTGAAAAGGAAACCAAACTTGCATGACATTTATGAAAAAAGGGTGAAATGTAAAATAATAATATAATAAACAGCAGTGTTCTGGGTGTAAATGAGGTGGGGTTAGACCAGGATTCCATCTTTGGACCTCAGATATTTGTACTGTCACTTTAACCCAGTGAACTACATGGTCAGTTGAAGTGTTTTGGCCCAAATGTGCTACTGTTATATCCAAAATGATATTAAGGGGAAATTATATATAAGTACTGTAATACAAAAAACAGGATTGCAGTGAGACAGGGACCCTTCATTGGACTGCTTCTCAATACACAGTGTGTTCACTGTTACTTATATATAATACCTCTTTATATATAATTAACATCAAACAGTGTATTACAGCTTTATGTTATTGTAGGGATGGACCCCAAGTGTCCATTGTCAAAGGTCAAAGGTCAAAGTCTTTGCGGTCTAATTCTAAATCCTTTCAAGTAAATCATTTGGTTATATCAATTTAACCTCATATAAGATCAGTTTTGGAAAACATAGCCAATGATTCATGGGACTGGTACTCCTACTATATGAATATAACCATCTACCCTGTGAGTTACTCCGCTATATACTGGTAATCTTGAATCTTGGTAAATATAATGATGAGCCATTTTGTGAGTCATTCTTCTACACCGGTTAATATAATGATGGTCCACTCTGTTAGTCACTCTTATATATATTGGTAAATATAATGATGGTCCACTCTGTGAGTCATTCTAATATATACTGGTAAATATAATGATGGTCCACTCTGTGAGTCATTCTAATATATACTGGTAAATATAATGATGGTCCACTCTGTGAGTCATTCTAATATATACTGGTAAATATAATGATGGTCCACTCTGTGAGTCATTCTAATATATACTGGTAAATATAATGATGGTCCACTCTGTGAGTCATTCTAATATATACTGGTAAATATAATGATGGTCCACTCTGTGAGTCATTCTAATATATACTGGTAAATATAATGATGGTCCACTCTGTGAGTCATTCTAATATATACTGGTAAATATAATGATGGTCCACTCTGTGAGTCATTCTAATATATACTGGTAAATATAATGATGGTCCACTCTGTGAGTCATTCTAATATATACTGGTAAATATAATGATGGTCCACTCTGTGAGTCATTCTAATATATACTGGTAAATATAATGATGGTCCACTCTGTGAGTCATTCTAATATATACTGGTAAATATAATGATGGTCCACTCTGTGAGTCATTCTAATATATACTGGTAAATATAATGATGGTCCACTCTGTGAGTCATTCTAATATATACTGGTAAATATAATGATGGTCCACTCTGTGAGTCATTCTAATATATACTGGTAAATATAATGATGGTCCACTCTGTGAGTCATTCTAATATATACTGGTAAATATAATGATGGTCCACTCTGTGAGTCATTCTAATATATACTGGTAAATATAATGATGGTCCACTCTGTGAGTCATTCTAATATATACTGGTAAATATAATGATGGTCCACTCTGTGAGTCATTCTAATATATACTGGTAAATATAATGATGGTCCACTCTGTGAGTCATTCTAATATATACTGGTAAATATAATGATGGTCCACTCTGTGAGTCATTCTAATATATACTGGTAAATATAATGATGGTCCACTCTGTGAGTCATTCTAATATATACTGGTAAATATAATGATGGTCCACTCTGTGAGTCATTCTAATATATACTGGTAAATATAATGATGGTCCACTCTGTGAGTCATTCTAATATATACTGGTAAATATAATGATGGTCCACTCTGTGAGTCATTCTAATATATACTGGTAAATATAATGATGGTCCACTCTGTGAGTCATTCTAATATATACTGGTAAATATAATGATGGTCCACTCTGTGAGTCATTCTAATATATACTGGTAAATATAATGATGGTCCACTCTGTGAGTCATTCTAATATATACTGGTAAATATAATGATGGTCCACTCTGTGAGTCATTCTAATATATACTGGTAAATATAATGATGGTCCACTCTGTGAGTCATTCTAATATATACTGGTAAATATAATGATGGTCCACTCTGTGAGTCATTCTAATATATACTGGTAAATATAATGATGGTCCACTCTGTGAGTCATTCTAATATATACTGGTAAATATAATGATGGTCCACTCTGTGAGTCATTCTAATATATACTGGTAAATATAATGATGGTCCACTCTGTGAGTCATTCTAATATATACTGGTAAATATAATGATGGTCCACTCTGTGAGTCATTCTAATATATACTGGTAAATATAATGATGGTCCACTCTGTGAGTCATTCTAATATATACTGGTAAATATAATGATGGTCCACTCTGTGAGTCATTCTAATATATACTGGTAAATATAATGATGGTCCACTCTGTGAGTCATTCTAATATATACTGGTAAATATAATGATGGTCCACTCTGTGAGTCATTCTAATATATACTGGTAAATATAATGATGGTCCACTCTGTGAGTCATTCTAATATATACTGGTAAATATAATGATGGTCCACTCTGTGAGTCATTCTAATATATACTGGTAAATATAATGATGGTCCACTCTGTGAGTCATTCTAATATATACTGGTAAATATAATGATGGTCCACTCTGTGAGTCATTCTAATATATACTGGTAAATATAATGATGGTCCACTCTGTGAGTCATTCTAATATATACTGGTAAATATAATGATGGTCCACTCTGTGAGTCATTCTAATATATACTGGTAAATATAATGATGGTCCACTCTGTGAGTCATTCTAATATATACTGGTAAATATAATGATGGTCCACTCTGTGAGTCATTCTAATATATACTGGTAAATATAATGATGGTCCACTCTGTGAGTCATTCTAATATATACTGGTAAATATAATGATGGTCCACTCTGTGAGTCATTCTAATATATACTGGTAAATATAATGATGGTCCACTCTGTGAGTCATTCTAATATATACTGGTAAATATAATGATGGTCCACTCTGTGAGTCATTCTAATATATACTGGTAAATATAATGATGGTCCACTCTGTGAGTCATTCTAATATATACTGGTAAATATAATGATGGTCCACTCTGTGAGTCATTCTAATATATACTGGTAAATATAATGATGGTCCACTCTGTGAGTCATTCTAATATATACTGGTAAATATAATGATGGTCCACTCTGTGAGTCATTCTAATATATACTGGTAAATATAATGATGGTCCACTCTGTGAGTCATTCTAATATATACTGGTAAATATAATGATGGTCCACTCTGTGAGTCTCTCTAACATATACTGGTAAATATATTGATAGTCCACCCTGTGAGTCATTCTAATATATACTGGTAAATATAATGATAGTCCACTCTGTGAGTCTCTCTAATATATACTGGTGAATATAATGATGGTCCTCTCTGTGAGTCTCTCTCACATATACTGGTAAATATTATGATGGTCCACTCTATGAGTCTCTCTAACATATACTGGTAAATATAATGCTGGTCCACTCTGTGATTCACTCTAATATATATTGGTAAATATAATGATAGTCCACTCTGTGAGTAATTCTAATATATACTGGTAAATATAATGATGGTCCACCCTGTGAGTCACTCTACTACATAAATATAATGATGGTCCACCCTGTGAGTGAAATATATCCACTTGCACAATGAATGAGTGAAATCAGAGTAAGCGCCAATGATCACATGTGTGTATTATTACTTACCATTACCCTCTTTAAATGTCCTCCCAGAACTTGAATCAGAAAGCAATGGTGTTAAGGATGGAATAATGATGTCGCATTACTAGCGGGTAAAATGGGGCTGGACTAAGCTGAATCCATTATTATTTCAACGCATTGATTTGATCAGTGGATAACAGCCAAGGAGTTCCTGCCAAAATGGTGTTCAGCTATGGGGGTAATACAACATCTTGTATTATCACTGTATACAGGACCTTGTATTGCATGGCCTAAAAACTTTGCTGTATCAGTATAATAAGATTCACTAGGTATGTAATAGATATAACTATTGTCCATTGATGATTGCCTTTCAGTTGTTCTTTTTTACAACATTGTCCGTCGTGGGATGACTGCTGTGGGAGTGGAAGTGCGTCGGTGCGTTGTGAATATGATGACATAAATGGTGGTAATCAGAGCCAGTGAGTCTGTAGCTAGAGGAGTGCTTGTAGTAACACTTTTGGTTTGGTTTGTTTGTGTTTAACGCCCTATTAACAGCTATGGTCATTTAAGTTTTTGGTGGTGGAGGAAAGCCAGAGTTCCCAGAGAAAAAACACTGACCTGTGGCCAGTACCTGGCATCTGCCCCACGTAGGCCTTGAACCCACGACCCAGTGGTGGAGAGTTTACGTGGCAGCAGAATGTCAGACAACTTAACCTATTAGCCACTGTGGCCCCTTTTGTAGTAACACTGTTATGTTAGTCTATATAGTGTTATAGTGTGTTGTGGTGGACTTTTATTTATATAGTGTGGTGGACTTTTATTTATATAGTGTGATGTGGTAGACTATATAGTGTGGTGTGGTAGACTTTATAGTGTGTTGTGGTAGACTGTATAGTGTGTTGTGGTAGACTGTATAGTGTGTTGTGGTAAACTGTATAGTGTGTTGTGGTAGACTGTATAGTTTGTTGTGGTAGACTGTATAGTGTGTTGTGGTAGACTGTATAGTGTGTTGTAGTAGACTGTATAGTGTGTTGTGGTACACTGTATAGTGTGTTGTGGTAGACTGTATAGTGTGTTGTGGTAGACTGTATAGTGTGTTTTGGTTTTCACATTTTTTATTAACTTTATTACTGTAACACCTAACCACATTATGTTCCAGTCACTCCGGAAAAATCCTGGAATTTCAAGAGCAGTGGGCCATTTCAGCAATTTTTAATCAATAATCAAAATAAAGAGGGGTTATTCTATAGGAAAATTGGAACATGGAGGGGTCAATTTCAATTTTGAGAGGCCAATGGCCCCATGGCCCTCTCCAGGATGATCCCTGGTCACTGTAAGACATTTTGGCATTACCACTGTTTACAGCTGTAACTGACATTAAAACTGGTTACAGCTGTGACTGACATTAACATTGGTTACAGCTGTGACTGACATTAACACTGGTTACAGCTGTGACTGACATTAACACTGGTTACAGCTGTAACTGACATTAACACTGGTTACACCTGTGACTGACATTAACACTGGTTACAGCTGTGACTTACATTGACACTGTTTACAGCTGTGACTTACATTAACACTGGTTACAGCTGTGACTGACATTATCACTGGTTACAGCTGTGACTTACATTGACACTGGTAACAGCTGTGACTGACATTAACACTGGTTACAGCTGTGACTGACATTAACACTGTTTACAGCTGTCACTGACTTTGACACTCTTTACAGCTGTGACTGACATTGACACTCTTTACAGCTGTGACTGACATTAACACTGGCTACAGCTTTGACTGACATTAAAACTGTTTACAGCTGTGACTGACATTAACACTGGTTACAGCTGTGACTGATGACATTAACACTGGTTACAGCTGTGACTGACATTAACACTGTTTACAGCTGTCACTGACTTTGACACTCTTTACAGCTGTGCCTGACATTAACACACATGAACAGTGAATGTCCTCATCTTGGAACCAGAAAGTCTCAACTTTTTCAAATTTTCATGGTGTTACACTATTAAATGTAGTTGTGCATTGGGGGTTTCAACATTTTCTAAGGTCAATGTTACTTAAAATAGGTCTGTGGGGGTCTGAGTTTGGTGGAAGGGTTAAAAATCCTTCTCTCTGAATCCAATTTGCAAAGGGAATTGGAAAGTTTTTAATGTCAAGGTAACTGTTTCTAAAAATAGACCATGAGGGATATGGTCCTTATCTCTCGATCCAATCGTTCCATCTTTTTTCGAAAATTGACATGGTGATACGATGTGATATGAGGATGTGCAATAGAGGTTTGATATTTGTTTAAGGTTACTTACTATAGACCATGGAGGATACAGTCAAGCACATGGCAGGCCCTTGCTGACCTGTCAGGATTATAGTTGTTGTAGGTGTGAATTGTTGTGTTACCAGGACTGTAAACTGCTGTAGATGTTATTAGGATTTTGAATTGTTGTAATTGTTATCAATGCATTGCATTGCTGTAAGTGTTATCAGGACTGTGTACTGTTATAGGTGTTATTAGGACTTTAAACTGTTGTGGGTGTTATCAGGATTGTGAACTGTTGTAGATGTTATCAGGACTGTGAACTGTTGAATGCGTTGTCTGGACTTTTAACTGTTGTAAGAGTTGTCAGTACTTGAACTGTTGTAGGTGTTATCAGGAGCTGATCTGTTTTAAGTGTTATCAGGACTTGTATTGTTGTAGGTGTTATCAGGACTTGTTCTGTTGTAGGTGTTATCAGGACTTGTTTTGTTGTAGGTGTTATCAGGACTTGTTCTGTTGTGGGTGTTATCAGGACTTGAACTGATGTAAGTGTTATACAGACCTTGAACTGCTGTAGGTGTTATACAGACTTTGAACTGTTGTAGGTGTTATACAGACTTTGAACTGTCGTAGGTGTTATACAGACTTTGAACTGTTGTAGGTGTAATACAGACTTTGAACTGTTGTAGGTGTAATACAGACTTTGAACTGTTGTAGGTGTTATACAGACTTTGAACTGTTGTAGGTGTTATACAGACTTTGAACTGTTGTAAGTGTTATACAGACATTGAACTGTTGTAAGTGTAATACAGACTTTGAACTGTTGTAGGTGTTATACAGACTTTGAACTGTCGTAGGTGTTATACAGACTTTGAACTGCTGTAGGTGTTATACAAACTTTGAACTGTCGTAGGTGTTATACAGACTTTGAACTGTCGTAGGTGTTATACAGACTTTGAACTGTTGTAGGTGTTATACAGACTTTGAACTGTTGTAGGTGTAATACAGACTTTGAACTGTTGTAGGTGTTATACAGACTTTGAACTGTTGTAAGTGTTATATAGACTTTGAACTGTCGTAAGTGTTATACAGACTTTGAACTGCCGTAGGTGTTATACAGACTTTGAACTGCTGTAGGTGTTATACAAACTTTGAACTGTCTTAGGTGTTATACGGACTTTGAACTGTCGTAGGTGTTATACAGACTTTGAACTGTTGTAGGTGTTATACAGACTTTGAACTGTTGTAGGTGTTATACAGACTTTGAACTGTTGTAGGTGTTATACAGACTTTGAACTGTTGTAGGTGTTATACAGACTTTGAACTGTTGTAGGTGTTATACAGACTTTGAACTGTTGTAGGTGTTATACAGACTTTGAACTGTTGTAGGTGTTATACAGACTTTGAACTGTTGTAGGTGTTATACAGACTTTGAACTGTTGTAGGTGTTATACAGACTTTGAACTGTTGTAGGTGTTATACAGACTTTGAACTGTTGTAGGTGTTATACAGACTTTGAACTGTTGTAGGTGTTATACAGACTTTGAACTGTTGTAGGTGTTATACAGACTTTGAACTGTTGTAGGTGTTATACAGACTTTGAACTGTTGTAGGTGTTATACAGACTTTGAACTGTTGTAGGTGTTATACAGACTTTGAACTGTTGTAGGTGTTATACAGACTTTGAACTGTTGTAGGTGTTATACAGACTTTGAACTGTTGTAGGTGTTATACAGACTTTGAACTGTTGTAGGTGTTATACAGACTTTGAACTGTTGTAGGTGTTATACAGACTTTGAACTGTTGTAGGTGTTATACAGACTTTGAACTGTTGTAGGTGTTATACAGACTTTGAACTGTTGTAGGTGTTATACAGACTTTGAACTGTTGTAGGTGTAATACAGACTTTGAACTGTTGTAGGTGTTATACAGACTTTGAACTGTTGTAGGTGTTATACAGACTTTGAACTGTTGTAGGTGTTATACAGACATTGAACTGTTGTAGGTGTAATACAGACTTTGAACTGTTGTAGGTGTTATACAAACTTTGAACTGTTGTAGGTGTAATACAGACTTTGAACTATTGTAGGTGTTATACAGACTTTGAACTGTTGTAGGTGTTATACAGACTTCAAACTGTTGTAGGTGTTATACAGACTTTGAACTGTTGTAGGTGTAATGCAGACTTTGAACTGTTGTAAGTGTTATACAGACTTCGAACTGTTGTAGGTGTTGTGCCTGTGCCAGAGACAGTGGGGAGGTTCACTATGACAACTGCTGCCAGTGTCACACTGCAGCGATAAGGAAGTGGACAGACGTGGATGATGCTGACCTCCTTTATGTTAGCTTTTATAACAAGGTACTGTTGTCAAACTCTGTGTCTATAGTTATTTCTGTCAAATAAATCTTATATAACAAGGAAATGGTGGTCATAATCTTTATCTAAAGGTATGTATGCATACTTCTGTCATTTTTTGTATATCTTTAGGACAGCCTGCTGATCAATGTTCTATGAGAAGTTGCGAATTGCTCACAAAATTGACTGATTTAATTAAAAATTGCATATTTTAGTACTGAATTTTCATATTAATTTCCCTCAAGATTCTGCATCAACATCTAAAATCATATCACATCACCTTGAAATAATCCATGATTTTTTCCCTATTTTTCAGATTTATGCCATTCCATTTTTTGTGGCTATAGACAGAAAGGAAAAGGCTGTTGTTGTGTCTATTCGGGGAACATTATCCTTGAAAGTAGGTAGCATGGTTATAGGGAAGTTTTCCTCAAGGGAAGGTCACCATTGTTACAGGGAACATTGTTTGGGGGGTAGGTCACCATAGTTAAAGTGAATTTTGTCCTTGAGGGAAGGTCCTCATGGTTGTGTCACATATACAGGGAACATTTTCCTTGACATTTTGTCACCTTGGTTACAAGAAACACTGTCCTTGAAGTAGGTTACCGTTGTTTTGACTTGATGTGAATTGTACACTTTGTGAGGACCCTCTCACTTTGTAGACAACCATTGTTGATCAAACTTACAAGGTTCTGTAGGCCCCCTTACTTTTTGGACAGACATACATTGACCTTGATTGACCTTGTGTTATAGGATGCCCTGACTGATCTGTCAGCAGACTGTGTATGTATAGACCAGGATGAGTGTGCTGACTGGAAATGTCACAAAGGTATCTACCAGGCCGCCTGCTATATCAGGGATGAACTACAGAATAGACAGATACTGGAGAAAGCCTTCCAGCAAAACCAGGTACATCACTTCTACTATCACTTCTACTATCACTTCTACTATCACTTCTTCTCATCACTCATCACTTCTACTATCACTTCTACTATCACTTCTACTATCACTTCTATTATCACTTCTTTTCATCACTCATCACTTCTACTATCACTTCTACTATCACTCATCGCTTCTACTATCACTTATCACTTCTACTATCACTTCTACTCATCACTTCTACTATCACTCATCACTTCTACTCATCACTTCTACTCATCACTCATCACTTCTACTCATCACTCATCACTTCTACTCATCACTTCTACTCATCACTTCTTCTCATCACTCATCACTTCTACTCATCACTTCTACTCATCACTTCTTCTCAATGTCATCACTTCTACTCATCTCTTCTACTCATCACTTCTTCTAATCACTCATCACTTCTATTCAATGTCATCACTTCTACTCATCACTTCTACTCAATATCATCACTTCTACTCATCACTTCTACTCAATGTCATCACTTCTATTCATCACTTCTACTCAATGTCATCACTTCTACTCAATGTCATCACTTCTACTCATCACTTCTACTCATCACTTCTACTCAATGTCATCACTTCTACTCATCACTTCTACTCAATGTCATCACTTCTATTCATCACTTCTACTCAATGTCATCACTTCTACTCAATGTCATCACTTCTACTCATCTCTTCTACTCATCACTTCTACTCATCACTTTTACTCATCACTTCTACTCAATGTCATCAATTCTACTCATCACTTCTACTCATCTCTTCTACTCATCTCTTCTACTCATCACTTCTACTCATCACTTCTACTCAATGTCATCACTTCTACTCATCCCTTCTACTCAATGTCATCACTTCTACTCATCTCTTTTACCCATCACTTCTACTCATCTCTTCTACTCATCACTTCTACTCATCACTTCTACTCAATGTCATCACTTCTTCTCATCACTTCTACTCATCACTCATGACCTCTACTTAAAACCTCTTGACCTGTCTTCCTGTGTGTCTCATTTGTTTGTTCACACTTTGGTTTTGGCAAGTTAACTTGCTTAAATATTATTCAATTTTGATGAAGCATGGTGAGTATGTACAATATAAAAAGACTAAGCCTTAAATGAAAGTTGAGCACAATCTGCACAAAATAAATTGGCATACATCTCTCTGATTAGTTGCTAATTTTCCCACAATATAATCCAATTTGACCAGATTTTGATCGCTATACAAGGTAAGTTTTAAGTTAACAAAATTTACAGGTCACAGAAATTGTTCATTAATTTGCCTCATTTAATCCAAAAACAAGTATGCTCTGCTAAAAACAACAGGAAGAAAGTCCAGGTAGACACTGCAGGCCCCCTGAGCCTTTTGTTACTACATGTTATGAATACCTGAACAACTGTTTTGCTTACCTGCATTATACATTTATTCACTAATGTACACTTGACATAATATTGATGTTGACTTGTCAAGGGAATGTTAACATGGATGCTGTGGTTATTTCAGGGTGCGAGATTGGTGGTCACTGGTCACAGTTTAGGGGCTGGAGCAGCCGCCCTACTGGCTATTCTGCTCAAACCTCACTTCCCAGACCTTATTTGCTTTACATTCTCTCCACCGGGGGGACTCCTCAGGTAAGATGTCATCTAGTGCAGATTATTAACCATTAAGATGTGATTTTGAAACATCAACACATATTGCATTTATCATTTTGGTCTAAGTGAGTGTTAGTGCATGGTTCCTTGTCATATTTCCTTTTCATTTGAAACATTGCTAGTCCATAACGATGTTAAGTTATTTTGCAGAAAAAAGAATTGAATACAGTATTCTGAGGTAGTGAAATTTAATGTTGTATAATTGAAGGTTTATTACCTCCACTTGTGGCAGAAGGGATGGGAATAGGGTATATGTTGAAAGACTACACCTATCTTTTCTAATTTGAAAATGACGGCGAACATTTTTCTGAGATGTTAAATCTGTGTGATGTGTTTGTATCCACAGCCACAAGGCCAGCTCTTGTTGCTCTGATTATGTGTGTTCTGTGGTGTTGGGACGGGATCTGGTACCCAGGCTTGGTATTTGCTCGATGGAACATCTCAAAACAAGTATACTGACAGCCATACGTCGCTGTGATAGACCAAAGGTAAATGATACTGACAGTCATACGTCGCTGTGATAGACCAAAGGTNATACATCACTATGACAGACCAAAGGTAACTATAATACTGACAGCCTTACATCACTATGACT